AGGATTTGGTGACCTGGTCCTAGAAGGCCACCAGGTTGGTCTGACAGGACCTGCCTCTAAGGAACCCGTGTTGGTTGCCCCTAAGCATAAACTCCCCTGCTGGCCCCTCATGGACATGTGCCAGAATAATTCTCTCAAAAAGCTTACCCAGGATTGAGGTAAGACTAACTGACCTATAGTTCCCTGGGTCCTCCTTCCTCCCCTTTTTGAAGATGGGAACCACATTGGCCCTCTTCCAGTCCTCTGGCACCACGAGTCCTCATACAGCCATGCCAGGGGTCCCGCAATGACCTCAGCTAATTCCCTCAGTACTCTAGGGTGGAGATCTTGTGCTATTCATCGTTAAATTAAAATAAAATAAAATAAATAGAATATATTTCCATACTCACAGTCTTTTTATTCTGTTATATACTACTTTTGAACACTTTAACAATTATCTCAATTGAGCCGTTAGTATTGAGCAATTAGTGTAGTAGTAAAAAACACTATCATATATCTGTTCCAGGGCTTTTGTTTGATTTCAGTAGTATATCTGCAAAATACCCTGGCTTCAAGTTTTAAATAGGACTGATAGTGTTAAGTGCCTAAGACATACCATGGGACTTGGGCACCTAATTCTTGGACACGTAAGAAACTTGGAAAATCCTAGCTTCTCTTTTTGTAATTTTCTAACTTCGTACAATCTTCTGAAATCTCAGGTAATTAAGTAGACACAAAATGCATCTTACTGTTGTAGGGTCAAATCCTAATGGTCTTACTAAGGGCTTCTGTCACCCTCTCTCAAAATGGGTGGTACCTTACTGCTACATGAATGGATTTCTTTCTTCATTGGAGCTCCTCATGGACAGCATTCCCTCTAAGCTGCTTGATGTGCATGGCCGTGTAGGTGCGCTCATGCCACTTTACCAGGCACACCTGCTTGGCTCCGTACACTACACAGCTTAAAGGAAATGCTGCTTATGGAGACCTGTTCTTAAGCTCATTAATGTCAAAACAGAAGGTAGGACAGGGTAGCACCCTGTCTGACTAGTTCAGAGAAACATAAGGTTTTGTAGAAAGTAACCTATTTTGTCAGATGTTGTGAAAGGACCTTGCAGCATATGACAAAGTCAGTTGTCACTTATGAAAGTTCATGCCACTCTGAACTAGTCACTAAGATACCATCCTGCCCTACCTTCTGCACTGACATCAGACTAGCACGGCTAACCGCTTCTCTATTCATTAAAGTCAAATGGAAGACACCAGTAGTGACATATAGGGGGTGCATGTGCACCCCCTGAGAGTACTGGTGCACCCCCTGACCGGCCGCGCTCCCTGCTTAGGCAGTGGGTCAGGGAGCAGGCGGGAGCACCAGTGTCCCTCCTGCAAGCACTGGCTAGGGAGTGGGAGCACTGGATGTAGCACTGTGGCCACTTCCTGGTCAGTGAGTTTTACTGTGAGGAACCCTCCCTTCCCAGTCGGTGAGATTGGCCCAGGGGGGACCCTGCTTTCCCGGTCTCTGACTGGTTGCTGGGGGGGTGGGGGATGTGGCCCCCCTGAATAAGATGGCACCAGGTGCCCATTGGAAGAGACTATTGACTTAATAGATGTTGGCTCAAGTTTGTAGTAATGGCCAGACTTTTAAATAGGGGTGCACCGTGTTGCATCCCTATGATGCTATAATGGGTCTTATGCCAGGCAAGGAAACTAAGACACAGTTGTCCTAAACTAAAAGCAAGTTTATTGAACCCTAACAGATACAATTCTAATTAAAACTGAAGTAGCAGTAACAGTTAAAAATTTTAGGTTTGTACCTAGTCAAAGCAGATGCTCACCACCCAAAATGTTGCAAACACAGCTTCACTGGTTGATCAGGCCATGAAGTCATGTCCGGGGCTCCTGGATGCCATGTCTGATATCAAGACAGGATCATGGATCGGTGACAGGATCTCTTCAGGCTTTCTTCAGGAGTGTTCTGAAGGGTACACTCTCTCATCACTCTTTATATATCATATAACTTGCATTTCTTAAGACATAACGTTAACTTGAGCCTTCCTCCTATTCGTTTCAAGTCAAGGACAGTATTTTTCCATCTGCTCCTTTCACTGGGTGCAGATCTTGACCACAATTCAAGCTAAGCATGCAGCTTGAGCTGAGCACAAAGGTCAAACCCGGGCCTGAAGGCCTCTGGGTCCCAACAACCAATAAAGATTTTCTTGGCCAATACCAATAGCCGATGATTGACCAACCACATTGATCCATGCTAATCCAATAACCAATGGCTCCTATCCACAGCCCTGCTCCCAGCAGTCTATGTTGCTGTCCCAGGCAGGCGGGGTGGACCCTCGTGTTAACAGCAGTACTGGTAGTGTTTGGAGCCCAGCGGCATGCCACTGCTTCAGTGCCAGTGGGCCCTACACAGCCAAGCTCTGGTGGCCGCCGGGGAGAAGCCACTTTTGCAAAGGCGCCCAGTGGAGCAGAATGTCCCTCATACGGTGCCTTACCCCACCCATGTGCAGCCCAACATCTTTGCAGCAGCCCCAGTGCTCAGGCCCGTGCTGTGCACGCAGTATTGCCATGGCAGCAGCTGCAGGAGCTGGTAACAATCCCTTTGTTGCTGAGCGCTATGTCCTGTGACCGCTCCCTGGCACCCCCTCCTGCTGCTTGCTGGTATTTGTAGTCTGTTGCAGGCTTGGGCCAGTGGCAGGGCATGGGGACCCAGACTGCTTGCCAGGGTGCTCTGAGCATGCAGCCATAATTATCAGATACAACGACCAAAAAACCCAATAGCTGATAATGTCATTTCTCCTTTTATCAGTTCCGATCTGATAGCCAACCAATGTATCAGTGTACTCATACTTATAAAGGTATTCAGGCACCTAACTTCCATTTAAACCTATTGGAGTTCAGCCATCTCAATATTTGTAAGTATCTGGGCCTCAGTTCTATTACATAGAAGTCTTGTTGTGCCTAATAGGTGTTCTGCCTGATTATTACCTGCAGGATTTAGATGTAGTGTATAATAATCGGTAATGGCAATCTGTTTTTAATGGAAGATCATCTTTCTGTCATTTTAGGAGAGCATTGAATTTAGGAATACTTCGAGATCCTGGATCAGAGGTTGAAGACCGACAATACCAAATAGATCTCCAGTCTATCAACATAGGTACTGCACAGTGGCATCAGCTGAAACCAGAGAAAGAAAATAGTAAAGGAGGGGTCCTGACAGAGAATGAAAGAAATTCTCAGAACCCAGCACTTGAATGGAACATGGCCAGTAGGTAGGAAATTGTTTTAAGATGTTCTGTTTTCTAGAATTTCCTAGAAAAAAACACTAAAAATATAATCATGACTAGGCTACATATTTTTCTATTGTTTTTACTTTCCATTGCAAAAATATTTTCTGTGAAATAGTGTTTTGAATTGTACATTTGAAATTGTTCTTGCACGGTAATTATCATGTAGTTACTTTGTCTCTCTCTGTCCTGCTATAAACTCCTTTTTGAATGGCTTATTATATGGCCATAAAAAATAACTCCAGGCTTAGACTTGGCATTCAAGGTCTCGGTCTAACAACAACAGCTTGTTGGGGTTTTTTGGGTTTTTTTATTTCTTTTTCTTCCTTTGTTTGTATTTTCTCAAGGTTTGAATAAAACCAGTTTAGACATTTTTAAGCTAAAGGAAGACCAAGTAGATTTTTTTTCTTTTGGCTCTGAACTGTTTTTTGCGCTTCTGTAACTGAAAACAGATGCAGTTTTAGAATGACATATTTCAGCTGATTTGTAAGATACACAAAAGGACGCTTCTAGCTAAATAGGTTTAGTTCATTTTCTCTTGGATTACCCTTGAGAGGCTTCCATGTAAGTCACCTGCTGAAGGCATTGCCAATGGATTTTGAAGGTCTTGTTCAATTCCAGATCATGTAGAGTCCAGCAACCAGATATGGAGGATTTTTACTGTTTTGGTCAAGTTCACAGTAGAATGAGGCCACCTACACACAGGAGACACAGTATAAATACATGTCCTTAGTGTTTTGCACTTAAAATGAGTACTTATAGAATCACTAGGTGTACCCAGATGAGCCTGCACGTCCCTCTTGCTGCATCTCACAGTAGTTTGAGACATGGCAAGAGGCACACTGGGAACAAAAAAGCGTTCCTGGATATCAAACATACCTGTATGTCAAACATACCTGGATATCCTGCCCCTTACCCCAATGGTGCAGCACGCTGACTGCCCATTCAGGGCAAATAGGGCTCGTTCCAGGCTCAGAACCGGCCCAGCCTGATGGCACACAGGGCCTGTGCATGCAGGACTCAGCCCAGTGCAATGGACAGTTCCCGCGAGTGGTGCAGGGCCCCAGGTGACAGCCCAAGTGGCCCAGAGCTACCCAAAGGCGAATGGCACCATGCCAAGCCCGGCCAGGCCCACATGATATGGCACAGGCAGCGCTGGGTGCCAGGTGGCTGGGGCTGAGCTGCACGGAGGGACTATGCTATGAGGCCCCAAGCACCTTGATGGCTGCTGCTGCTGTGGGTGGCCTTTGGGGGGTGCATGAGGGCCCTGCGGGGGTCACATGTTGG